CATTTCCCCTTCCTCCCGACTCTGACGTACACCACCCGAAAAAGTTGTTATTACAGGCGGCAAAGACTGGTTTTTAAAATGTTACTTCTGCTCATTTCCGGTTTGGTGAAGTAAGAATGTATTTTATGATTGTACAATTAACTTGAAATTTGTTTCGTTTTTATAACTCTGTTTTAACGGTTTCTCGATTTGAAATCTGACATCAAACATTATGAATTATTTTGTCATTTTATCTTTGTGGTGCTACATTTGAAGACCTTTCTGAATAAACTGTCTCTTGTGTAATAGTTTCTCTTCTGATTGTTTTGTTTTATGAGTTGAGTTGAGTTGATCCAAGAACCGACATCACAGCACTCAAGGCATTCCCATAAGCACTCCGTCCCCATCTTCAGCAGCCAGTGAAGAGTCCCGATACTAATGATGCCAGTAGCATTTTGATTAAACGTCCGTCTTGCCTTTCCCCTGAGCCTCGAGCATCTGCCAAAACCTCTCGTCACTTCCCCCCTGCATCAGTCTCACCAGACTGGTGATCCGACTACTCGGCCGAACTGTACACGCTCTCCCACAAGGGAGAATATGTTCTGTGCAAGTAAATTTAAAGGACCCTTCACAAACCATTGGCACATCGAGCACATGAGGGCTAATTTCATATTTGTATAGACCAGTCAGCATTCAGTGGGTGATTTGGTCAGGCCAGATGTCTTTACTTCCATGGACTTTTCCTGCTACCCATTTCAGGTTGGGTCGACCTGGAAGCCAAGGTCATGAATGAAAAAAAAATCTGGTGCCATGCGGACTTGAACTCACGACCTTCAGATCCGCAGGTGAGCGTCTCCCCGCTACACCACAGCGGTATTGTGCAAAAGATTACTCATTTGGTTGGTGGATTCTTTTGCACACAGAGCTTTAACTCTTTATTTTGTCAGTACTGGGCAACCATTCATTGATTACTTATACAAATTACATGTGTCCTAACTCACTCAGCAGTCACCTACTCAGCACTAACTCACTATCTGCGTGTTTATTTGGGCTTTTTTACATTTTTTTGGGGTATAGGAAATTTGTGGAAGTTAAAGGAAATTAAAACTTAAAATATTTAACTCTAATGCCAGATGAGTACTCATGTGTGGAGCAGAAATACGGAGAATAGCTAAATCAGTTATTATTAAACTACAAACATTCAATAACACATGCCTGCAAAGAATAGAGGAAGTTAAATGGTATGACATCATCCCTAATGTGGAGCTTTAGATTCCAGGACCCTAACTTGCGTACACACGCATGCATGCAGACAGACAGACAGACAGACAGGCAGGCAGGCAGACAGACAGACAGACAGACAGAATAAGCCTATTCTAACAACAATTTCATACAAGGCAACTAATTAGAGGTTTGCAGAAATTTGATGTTTTTGACCAAAAGGTGCACATATCACAGCCTAGCTGTAAACCACAACAAAATATACGAACTGGGTTTTTAAGGGCAAATGTAGAAGAAGAAGAAGTAGCTTCCTATGTGTGATTCTATAGCCCATTCAAAAAATTATAACTCTAGTGGGTTTAGAATCATATCACACAATGACTGCAAAGTTCTCCAGCTTTTCTGCAATGCCAGCTTTCGTGAGTGATTGACCGTTTGCGCTAACAGTGAGCTGCAAATATGTTGTGGGACCATTAGTGTAGGCACATCTGACAGCTGCCTTATACATTTTTACTTTTCATGTGTAAGCTTCAAGATTTTGCTGGGACTGACAGGTTTTTCACTAGTTTTCAGATGGGACTGTTAGGTACATTTTGTGTGATTTCCACTGGTGAAGGGAGGGAGCAGGTGTGGTATTACCCTGTGTGCAGTGATGTTGGGTCCTTGATTAAGGACAATTGATTAACTAATTATCTAGGATTTACAGCCTTTTTTTAACCTCTTCTGCGAATCAAGAATTCAGTTTCCCACCTGCAGTGACACAAATTTATTGCACAACATGTTCTTTATTTACCTCTTGTATGTGCAAGTAATGTTCCCATCTGGATTATGGGATTTTATTGGTGCTCCCTCTGAGTTAAATTAAGAACCGGCATAACTGCAATGGAGCCATCCCCATAAGCATGCCGTCCACATGTGTAGTAACCTGCACAGAGTTCTAGTTCCGATGGCAAAAGTAGAAGTCTGATTGTATGTCTATCTTGCCTTTCTTCTGGGTGTTGAGTGTTAGCCAGATCCTTCTGATCACTGCTCGCTGTCTCATTTACATCTTTAAGCACTATTAACTGCTGATGAATATGTTGAAAGGGGAATCTGAGCGCCTATGGTTGTGTGAATGCTGTGAAGATAATCTAACTCGGAACTCATAACTTACATCTTTAACTATATCCATTTTAAATATAAAATAATAAGGACGAAAAAATACTGTACAGTTTTTGCCTGCCATTTTTTGCTCTATCTCGACAAGTGCATATTACAGAGATTATATTAAATACACTGTATATTGAATTACACAAAATTAATCCTTTTTTCATAAGCTTTTATTAGGTTTGTTTTTGTTTGTTTGTCTGGTATTTTGCATCAATTTTTTTTGTTTAATTTTGAAATATTCAAACCACACAGTCCTATGGTTCACTGTACATTTTACCACGAAAGTCATTACTAATAGGCATATCTTTCTGTTTGGCATTGTTCACACAAATTGCTGCCACCACCTCACCATAGTTTAACATTTTGATAAAAAGCAGAAGCTTGGATTCAAAGGGCAAGTACTGTCACCTATCAGTTAGCCTTGCTGCTCATAAACCAATATGTCTGTCTTCCAGCAAAAGAGTTTTTTGGCACCTTTCTGTATTTCCAGCAGACAATAGTTTTATTTTTGCTATTGGGAGGCATGGGAATCAAAGTCGATGGTAAATGTGACTAGCAATGCCCGCCTGTATTAGGAAAAGCCTTCTAGAATTAGAGCATGATATTTCAGGACCGTTGTTGCCATCACATGTGTGTGCATCTTCTTTAGATGATCAGAACTCAAACTATCTGTAGTCATTCCCTCATCTCCCCACTTCCTTTTATTCCCATTCCCTTCCTGATTTCCCCTCCAAGAAAAACGATCAGTGGAATCTTGTTCCTGTGAAGCTTTCTCAATACCTGTGTCATTCATGTCCCGCTTGCAAGCATCTTTATATTGCAGTAGAAGCTGACCTTGACATCAGCAAAACAGCAGATGTTTTATAAATAACATCTTTATCCCCACTTTATGCTAGCAAACATGGACAATGCATAAGTTCACAGGAACAGGAAATAACTACCTGTGACATATGCTGTCTCCTGAAGGTCACCAACAAAACAAGAAAGGACATGGTCAGGAATGGTTAGCATTAGAAAGAAGGTTGGAACAAGATCATGAATGAAGTAGTTTGGTCATCTAGTAAGAATGCAGACAGGCCGGACTTTGTATGAAAGCTACAGAAGGACATCTCAGTGAGAGGAAGACCAAAGAAGAAATGGATACACATATACAGTGTAGCAGCATCTTGCAACAACAGCAAAAAAACAAAAAGAGAGAGAGAACAAATCCATCACTGAAGCCACTCGAGAAGTGAAAGAAAAATACAAAAAACCACAAAGCTGGTCTATGACCCGGTAACACTGTGTGAGGACGAATGAAGAGAAAGAAATTAGGAAGCAGATTAACAAGTTTATATAATTCATCTTTTTTTTTCTTTTCAATATTATATAATGCATAAACCAGGAGGTTAAACCGGTCAACAAATGCCTGCAGAAGCCGGATGTATCAGCTGAAAATCACAAATATTGCAGCCATGGTGTAAACCGACACAACACAACATTTACATCTTCTCATGAACGCAGAAGAAGAACAGTATAATCAATTCTTTGGTGGTTTGTTATGTATTGAATTAATGGATGATTATATAATAAATACAGTTTCACCACAATGAATTAACTATTGACTATTTTATCGTTTCTAGTTACGACCTAGAACGGTCCTACAAGCCAGGCTAATCAAGTCTCACCAGAGCGTGCCTTCTTCACAGGCAATATCACAATTACGCCACAAGCACACGCTTGCCACCATCATATGTGTCATCTCAACAACACCAGCGTTGAGTACCACATCCCGGTCACCTGACCAAAGTCTTCCCCTTGGGGCTCAAATAACTCCAGCCAAAGAACATTGTCGTTTCACTGATGCACTCTGTGAAAAGTTGAAGCGATTTTGCTACGAATCAAAGTTAGTTCTAGGCACAGGTCTTTGCTAGAAGATACCTACTTCTCGTCTCCGCCAGTAACAAGTGCCATTTCGTAACTCCAGCCCACAAGCTTGTTGATGATCTACGGATAAGAACAAAATCTCATCTTCAGTGCCATAATCAAGTGCCAGACTGAAACGCAAGCAAACAAGCGTATCTTAGTCGTCAGAAAGTAGACTTATGTATTCTTCTCTTCAGTGCCAGTTCAAGTGCACTGTCGTGTCACAAATATTTGATAGCCACTTAAGAAAGAGGACTTACATATATTCTTCTGTTTAGTGCCAACAAGTGCCTAATGGTAACACAAGCATATAAGAAACACTAGCGAGTGAAAGAGAATTCACATATACTGTCTTCTGTAGTGATATCGTCAAGTTCCTAACTTGGCAAGCAAAAATAGATAATAGTAAGAAAGACGATAGAAAGAAAGAACGTACACATACTGCCTTCTTTAATTAAATCATCAAGTTCTTGACCATAACACAGGAATAAAATAGATGATAGATAGAGAAAGAACATACACCTACCCCCTTCTTCAGCATCTAGAGCCCAACAGTCACCCAAAGACCCTTGGCTAACAATATCATAATAGCTCCTGCAGAAACTCCAACGGCGATTTACAAGCATTACTTTGTGAACTGCACCAGGTTTTGTACCAAGGTTCTGTACCTAGGTTCTGTACCTAGGTTCTGTACCAAGGTTCTACATTCAGCATTGCAGCACTCCTCATATAAAGGTGAACACACAATGGATAGCAACAGAAACCATAACATGGATATAACTATGGATAACAATACCTTCCAGTACTTCGCTTATGGCAGCAATATGTTGACTGAGAGAATCCACATAAATAACCCAACGGCAAAGTTCTATGGGATAGGAAAGTTGTATGTAAGTATTTGTTCTCATATCTTTTTCTTCTCCTCCTCCTTCTTCTTCTTCTTCTTCTTCTTCTTCTTCTTCTCCTTCTTTCTTCTCTTCTTCTTCTTCTTCTTCTTCTTCTTCTTCTTCTTCTTCTTCTTCTTCTTCTTCTCTTCCTTCTTCTTCTTCTTTTTCTCTTCCTTCCTCTTCTCCTCCTCCTCCTCCTCCTTCTTCTTCCTTTTTCCCCCTCTTCTAATTCTCCTTCTCCTTCTTCTTTTTCCTACTCCTCCTCCTCCTCCTCCTCTTCCTCATACACCTCCCCTGTTCTTCATCTTCATTATGTGGCCTTGTAGTAAAACCTGGTGAAGCACATTTATGCCGTCTTAGATGTAAATATAGGTAGGTATTATAACAAACTTCTCATGGGACAGCCCACGGTCGGTGTTCAAAACTGGGCAGTTCCCTGAGTTCACCCAGCCTCTAGGTAATGGGTACCAGAGTTAACACTTTAGGGTAAATGAAGGAACGTCGCTGTAGCTATGGAATTGTGTGGGGACGGCGACACAGGCGAACAGTTTCTTATCAACTGTCCAGTATCGGTGGCAGAGCACTTATGGTTTATAACCATCTGCAATGACGCTGGTTCACATTTCTTGACTTTACCTTACCTTTCACGGGAACAATCAGTAGAAGCACCTTGGAATGGCTGCTTCATCGGAGGACTGAGCACATGTGAGAATGCCTAATGTGCAGTGAGGTCAGTTGTGATAATGTGACAGAACATATTTTCTCTACAGGGATACAGACTGACCTTTGATGTGCCTGTTGGGATTCCGGTAAGCAACTGGCATGGAGCATCGGGCACCATCCGGTCAGCTGGACCCAAGGAGTATGTGTATGGGGTGATTTGGAGCATCAAGACCGAAGACCTCGCCTACTTAGACAGGTGAGTTAAGTAAAAGTAAAAGTAGAGGACCCTTTTCCACACCTTAAGGCATATAGGGCATATAGGGCTAGACCTATATTTTTATAGACCAACTGGCACAAGATGGGTGATGTGGTCAGTATCACGCCGGCCGCCTTCACTTTCCCGGGACTGCACCCGGTACCGACTCAAGGCTGGGTCGACCTGGGAGCCAAGGTCATTTTTGTTAAAAGTCCAGCTTTGCCAGGGAGCGAACCCACGACCTTCCGATCCGTGGCGAGCGTCTAGCCGCTTGGCCACGGCGACTCCCCAGGTGAGTTAAAACTGGATATCATTTACAAATTGTGTTTCTTATTTTCATTGAACTTGTTCATCCCAATGCCAGTATAGTTTTAACAATATTTTTTTATAGACCAGAAGAATTCGAGTAACAACATTCTGGGACTGTATGAGTTAACGTTACATGCTGAAAAAAGAAATTCAATCAGGATACAATCTAGAAATAAAGTGTACTTTACCCTCGAACATCTGCTTAATTCAAGGTCTCTTTCTCACAACACCAAGATCAGAATATATAAAATGCTGATAAGACCAATTGTTTTATATGGCTCTGAAACTTGAAGCACAATTGAAAGAGCTAAAATGAAACCTTATTAAACATTTTCGAAAACAGTCTTAGACAAATCTTTGGATTCATCAAAGATGCAAACAGCCAGGGATGAAGAGTGAGAAGTAACAGAGAACTTCATATTTGATTTAAATCACTACTGATCACTGGCATCATGAAAGCTATTAGACTGAAATTGTTGGGGCATATTGAGAGAATGTCAGATGACAAAGAGGTAAAAAACTGTATACACAAGGGAACTGAATGGTCATAGACCATGAGGCAGACCAAGAAGATGATGGAGAGATAATATCCAGACAGACCTACAAACACCTGATGTCACTAACTGGAAAGTTAAGACCAACCAGAGAGACGATGGAGGCGGGTGATATCTGCAGCAATAAACCTGAAGAGTTTGGAATGCTCAAGAAGCAGAAGATGAGTTAACTTTACAAGAAGAACAGAAACAAACTCCTAAGTCTGAAACAGTAGTGACAAAGATGAAAACAGTAATAACAACAGGTGTTTAAACAGTAACAAATAGGGTGGAAACAGTAACAATTAGAACAGAAACAGTAGTAACTAGGATGGCAACAGTAACATTTAGAACAGATACATTAACAACTATGATGGGAACAGTAACATTTGGAACAGAGATATTAGCAACTATGATGGAAGCAGTAACATTTGGAACAGAGACATTAACAACTATGATGGAAACAGAAACATTTAGAACAGAGACATTAACAGGAATTATGAAAACTAACATTTAGAACAGAGACATTAACAACTAGAATGGAAACAGTAACATTTGGAACAAACATTTATAACCATGATGGAAACAGTAACATTTGAAACAAAAACATTAATAACCATGATGGAAACAGTAACATTTAGAACAGAGACATTAACAACTGTGATGGAAGCAATAACATTTAGAACAGAGACATTAACAACTGTGATGGAAGCAATAACATTTAGAACAGAGACATTAACAACTGTGATGGAAGCAATAACATTTAGAACAGAGACATTAACAACTGTGATGGAAGCAATAACATTTAGAACAGAGACATTAACAACTGTGATGGAAGCAATAACATTTAGAACAGAGACATTAACAACTGTGATGGAAGCAATAACATTTAGAACAGAGACATTAACAACTAGAATGGAAACAGTAACATTTGAAACAAAGACATTAATAACCATGATGGAAACAATAACATTTAGAACAGAGACATTAACAACTGTGATGGAAGCAGTAACATTGGGAACAGAGATGTTAACTGTGATGGAAACAGTAGCATTTGGAACACAAACAGTAACAACTATGATGGAAACAGTAACAATCAGAACAGAAACAGTAACAACTATGATGGAAACTGTAACAATCAGAACAGAAACAGTAACAACTATGATGGAAACAGTAACAGAAATAACAACTATGATGGAAAGCAGTAGCATTCGGAAACAGTAACAACTATGATGGAAACAGTAACAATCAGAACAGAAACAGTAACAAACTATGATGGAAACAGTAACAATCAGAACAACTATGAGAAACAGTCAGAACAACAGTAACCAATGATGGAAACAGTAACAATCAGAACAGAAACAGTAACAACTATGATGGAAACAGTAACAATCAGAACAGAAACAGTAACAACTATGATGGAAACAGTAACAATCAGAACAGTAACAACTATGATGGAAACAGTAACAGAAACAACTATGATGGAAACAGTAACAATCAGAACAGAAACAGTAACAACTATGATGGAAACAGTAACAATCAGAACAGAAACAGTAACAACTATGATGGAAACAGTAACAATCAGAAACAGTAACAACTATGATGGAAACAGTAACAATCAGAACAGAAACAGTAACAACTATGATGGAAACAGTAACAATCAGAACAGAAACAGTAACAACTATGATGGAAACAGTACAATCAGAACAGAAACAGTAACAACTATGATGGAAACAGTAACAATCAGAACAGAAACAGTAACAACTATGATGGAAACAGTAACAATCAGAACAGAAACAGTAACAACTATGATGGAAACAGTAACAATCAGAACAGAAACAGTTACAGTTAGAACAAACAGCAACAACTAGACCAGAAACCTGCTTGCCCATGGGAAATGTGTGACAACCTGGCATGGATTAAGGCAAACATGGCAGGCAACAGTTAAATACAGAACTGCTAAGTCACTGCACACACATGTCAACAGTGTCTCCCAGGGTTCTCAGTGTAGCAGACATGGTGGGCACGTGTTATCAATATTATCACTATCATCTAGTGTCACACACACACATGCACGCACACACACACATGGGTGCACATGCATGCACACACACATGAACACATGCATGTATGCGTGCCAACACACACACAGTGTCCATTTGTACCCAAATGGTTTTGGCCATTTGGCTTGATAAAGAAAGTGTTACAGCCCTTTTCTCCCTCATAGGGCTCCTTATATATGTATTGGTAATTTAATTTTGATAACTATTCACTGACTGCAAGGTAACAAAACAAACTCTGAGGTACTGGCCAATGTAGGGGTTACTAGATTGTTCATAATGCAAGACAAATTAAATATATGGGGCATGTCAACAGATCCCGCAAAATAGTGAAATTGGCGGAATTACTAGGTAGCTGTAGAATTTCCAAAATTGTGTTGATTATTTATATAGCTTTTCCCCAGGGGTACTAGATCCTGCAGGGGGACCTTGGACACTATGTGCGCCCCTCTCCCCAACCTAAAAAACATTTTAAGAGGGGCTCTCACCCCCCCCCCCCCCACCATTACATTTGTCATCATCATCATCATAAACCACTTCTGCCATTAAGTGTCATGGGGAGGAATAATTTGCGTTCCAGTGCACGTAGGCTGCCACTGTCTATTGTCATGCCGTGAAGGCGTAGTGTGTCTTTAATGTTGTCGATCCATAATTTTCGCGGCTGTCCTCTTGCTCTTGTAGATGATCTTCTGAGATGTAGTGCTTGTGATGGTATTTGATCTTGCGGCATTCTAACAAGATGACCAAACCACTTGATCTGCTGTTTCTCGATGAATCTAGTACAAGGTGTCATTCCCACAATTTGCCTGATAGTTTCATTATTCACTCGATCTCGGATGGTTAGGTTGGCTGCATTTCTCAGGCATCTCACCTCGCAGGTGGTGATTTTGCCTATATGGGCTTTAGATAGTGTCCATGTTTGGCACTGGTAGCTTAATGTTGGAATGAATATGCTATTAATAATCTGTCTCTTTGCACTCATAGTTATGCTTGGATGTCTTAATAATGGTGACAATTGGTATATAAGTGCACTTGCTTTCTGACATCTGGTTTCTATTTCTCTGTCAATCCTACCATCTTCTGTGATCATACTTCCTAGATATTTAAACTCCCTAACTTGATTCAGAGCAGCACCATTCATTACAATTGTCAAGGGTCTAATCCCAGCGTCCCCTAACACTGTATGAAGTTCACTTTCTTTAGTTTTTGGGGGCCTAAATGTATAAGAATAAAAATAATAATATTAATAATGTGTTGACATGCAAATAAATATAATAATATGTCTGAAATAATACGAACTATGTCAACAAATACTGAAAAAGACAACTATATATTGTTTAAAGGTCATTGTTATGGAGGTCAGATGTCATTGTTATGGAGGTCAGATGTCATTGTTATGGAGGTCAGATGTCATTGTTATGGAGGTCAGATGTCATTGTTATGGAGGTCAGATGTCATTGTTATGGAGGTCAGATGTCATTGTTATGGAGGTCACCCCCTTACTCATTTTCCAAAAGGGGGCTTAGGCTGCTTCTCTCCCCCCCCCCCCCCCCCGCAATATAAAATTATTAGAGAGGGGGCCACAAGGTGCTTCACCCCCCCCCCCCCCCCGCCCAACACCTCCCTTCCAGTCAGGTTCTAGCACCCCTGACTAAAGATAAGGGTTCTCCTTTTTCCTAAGAAGCAGCAGTAAGCCTCTGACAACAGCAAGCATGCTGGGAGTAACGGCTCTAGAGAACTACAGGGAAGGTTTAAACAATGTGTAACAAGAACAGCAGTTAGCATATGTGGTGTTAATTTAAGACAGAATAAAAATATGCCAGATCTCTTCTGAAAAGATAGACTGCACAATATAATTACTATATTGTTTGAAAGTACACTTAATTTATATTAAACTTGAGTATCTCCTCTTGTGGGTTCTGAGGCCCGTATTGTGGGTGAAAATAAGAATAGACCCACTGCCTCCCCAACAAGCATGTCATAAGAGTTAACTATCTGGGGACTTTCTTCGAAGTGCGTCTGCCTGAGAGGCAAGGAACCAGCAGTCTGCATACAACTAAGTCAAATCTGTAAAATGGATGTGCATGCATCACTCAGATTCTGGAATAAGACTAAAGTCGAAAGTGGATGAACAACCAGAACTTTATACCGACATTTTTATCTGGTGAATGTGAAGAATACAAAAAGAAGAAAAACTTGACAGTCCAGACTCCTACAATCTTATGCAATTAATACATAAGCTATGCAATATTTAATAACTTAAATATAATTTATGAGCTTTAATATCCATTATCGAAAAAGAAATAAGTTTAAAAAAATATATGCCATTATAAAAATTATATTGTTTATATTACTGCTTCTACTGCGTGCATCAGTTTATGTTTTAATTGTCTTCTCCCATACCCACCAACCAGCCAAGAGGCACACTACATGCCGATACAAGTGGATATAGAGCTTGATGGTGGAAAAAGTGTCTCATGTCGCTCCTATGAGATGCATAATGAAACTTCTAGAATACCATTGCCCAGTCCCCACTACAAACGGGTCATCATTGCGGGCGCCAAACAACATGGTCTGCCTGAGGAGTACATCCAACAGCTTGAAAGGTTCCCAGACAACGGACTGGCCGTGGTTCCTCCAAACTATCTACGAGTGATGGAAGTCGTTGCTAAGTATAAAGTTGGAAAGGAGAAAAGTGGACAGATAACTCCGCTTGACTATAACATAGAACGAGAGTTAATGACTCTTGTTAGAGCTTGATATTTTGTGAATGTTTTATTTTTACATAATATGTAGTCGGAATTGCCTTACTCCATTCTTGTTTTTTAGATTATCATCATTACTGCTCATAGTCTGATTCAAACCGTGAAATCTGTTATATATCAGGATAGTAGTATCTTAGAATGCACTTTTAAAGTTTGAGGAATGAGCACACTTCACATGAATGTAACCTGAAGTAACAAACATTTTTTGTGTGCTTTGGTCTGAAATTGTGACATTGCATGTGAAACTAGGACCAATGTATCTAAACATGATGCTGAAAACACTACAGTACCAACAGAGTGAGACTGAAATCAGTATACAGTACCAACAGAGTGAGACTGAAATCAGTACAGTACTAACAGAGTGAGACTGAAATCAGTACAGTACCAACAGAGTGAGACTGAAATCAGTACAGTACCAGTAGAGTGAGACTGAAATCAGTACAGTACCAACAGAGTGAGACTGAAATCAGTACAGTACCAACAGAGTGAGACTGAAATCAGTACAGTACCAACAGAGTGAGACTGAAATCAGTACAGTACCGAGATAGTGAGACTGAAATCAGTACTGTACCAATAGAGTGAGACTGAAATCAATACAGTACCGAGATAGTGAGACTGAAATCAGTACTGTACCAATAGAGTGAGACTGAAATCAGTACAGTACCAATAGAGTGAGACTGAAGTCAGTACAGTACCAATAGAGTGAGACTGAAATCAGTACAGTACCAATAGAGTGAGACTGAAATCAGTACAGTACCAATAGAGTGAGACTGAAGTCAGTTCAGTACCAATAGAGTGAGACTGAAATCAGTACAGTACCGAGATAGTGAGACTGAAATCAGTACAGTACCGATAAAATTAGGCTACAATCAGTACAGTACTGATAGAATGAAGCTAAAATTAGTAGAGTACATGCAAAATGAGGTTGAACTTTACAGTACATGTAAAGTGTGGTTTAAATCATTACTGTGCATTATAGTAATGTTTTAATTACTGCTGCACAGGTGTACTGTATAGGTAATGTTTTAATTAGTACTGTGCATGCAAAGTAATCTTTCAATTACTGCTGTGCTTGTAAAGTGAGGCATGATTCAGTACATTAACTGTAAAGTTTTACTGAAGTCAGTACAGTACGTATGAAATGAGGATTGAACTAGTACAGTACTTGTGTAGTGAGCTTTGAACTAGTACAGTACTTATGTAGTGAGCTTTGAACTAGTACAGTACTTATGTAGTGAGCTTTGAACTAGTACAGTACTTGTGTAGTGAGCTTTGAACTAGTACAGTACTTGTGTAGTGAGCTTTGAACTAGTACAGTACTTGTGTAGTGAGCTTTGAACTAGTAAAGTACTTATGAAGAGAGGTTTGAACTTGTACAGTACAAATGAAATGAAGTTTGAACTAGTACAGTACTTATGAAGTGAGGTTTCAATGTATACAGTGCTTGCAAAGTGAGACTGAAATCAATATAGTACTTGTATAATCAGGAAACTGACTCATATGTCCACCTATAACCAGAGCATATGTCCGCCTAATATCAGGAATCACTTGTAAAAATCACTCTTGTATTTTAATGTTAACATATATTTTATTCCCTCTGTCTATTAATAGTATAAAGCACATAGACATATTTTCTGAGTGTTTACACAAAAATCAACCGTACCCATGTTTTCTGTCAGCTTTTATTTCTTACTCCTGTCACCCAAAGAAGCCGAAGAACTGAAACTTCAGGTGAAGGCCAGTTTTCCATAAATGTCACCTTTCTGACTTGTCTATAGTGACCTATTTTGTCTATAGTGACCTATTTTGTCTATAGTGACCTATTTTGTTTATAAAGACCTATTTTGTCTATAGTGACCTGCTTACAAGATGAATATTTAATGCTATTGGTTGTTTTTTGATTTATTGGCGTTTAACCCCACCAGGACGTCACACCAAGCGATAAACATCCAGTGACACAAAGTGCCGCCATTTGGATGAGGATCAGCCGGGGACAGGTCCTAACAACCCTGTTCAACCCATAGGTTGGTGTTATTAGGGCCCCTGACAACAGCCAGGGTGGGCCTTTAAAACAACAAATAATTACATATGTCATTGGGACGCAGACTATTTTTAACAATTGGTTAACTTCACGCCTGGGCAAATGTTTATGAGGTCAGGATGTGATTATATTAACTAAAAAATAGCATTGTGTGGGTTGGGGGGTGTCCATCAAACCACAATGGTTTTTTAAAGCCAAGTTGACCTCAATTTTTACAGTAAGCCTCATTGATAAAGGTCACGACAAGTCACCAAAAAAAGATGTTTTAAAGCACTGAGGAATGTATTCCATTTATTGCTTTTACTCCATTTTATACAATAGCCAGTGGCAGCCAACGTGCACTGGATCGCAAATTATTCCTCCCCACGGCGCTTAATGGCAGAAGTGGTTTATGATGATGATGATGATGATGACTCTATTTATATTTATTGATTACTCCCTTTATATATCATTATATATTTCAAAAAACTTTTTAAAAATCTACATAAATTTTTATAAAAAAAATTATTAGTGACTTGTGTAAAATTGTTTTTTTTTTTTTAGAGAATATTACCACTGGATCATAAACACATTTGTTTTTGATTTATTAGCTTTACCTGGGAGAAAGAAATAATTTAATGGTCAATAAGCTCAACTGCCACAATCTTGTGAATGATCAGTGAGCTCAACTGCCACAATCTTGTGAATGATCAGTGAGCTCAACTGCCACAATCTTGTGAATGATCAGTGAGCTCAACTGTCACAATCTTGTGAATGGTCAGTGAGCTCAACTGTCACAATCTTGTGAATGGTCAGTGAGCTCAACTGTCACAATCTTGTGAATGGTTAGTGAGCTCAACTGTCACAATCTTGTGAATTGTCAGTGAGCCCAACTGTCACAATCTTGTGAATGATCAGTGAGCTCAACTGTCACAATCTTGTGAATGGTCAGTGAGCTCAACTGTCACAATCTTGTGAATGATCAGTGAGCTCAACTGTCACAATCTTGTGAATGGTCAGTGAGCTCAACTGTCACAATCTTGTGAATGGTCAGTGAGCCCAACTGTCACAATCTTGTGAATGGTCAGTGAGCTCAACTGTCACAATCTTGTGAATGGTCAGTGAGCCCAACTGTCACAATCTTGTGAATGGTTAGTGAGCTCAACTGTCACAATCTTGTGAATGGTTAGTGAGCTCAACTGTCACAATCTTGTGAATTGTCAGTGAGCTCAACTGCCACAATCTTGTGAATGGTCAGTGAGCTCAACTGTCACAATCTTGTGAATGATCAGTGAGCCCAACTGTCACAATCTTGTGAATGGTCAGTGAGCTCAACTGCCACAATCTTGTGAATGATCAGTGAGCTCAACTGCCACAATCTTGTGAATGGTCAGTGAGCCCAACTGTCACAATCTTGTGAATGGTTAGTGAGCCCAACTGTCACAATCTTGTGAATGGTTAGTGAGCTCAACTGTCACAATCTTGTGAATGATCAGTGAGCTCAACTGTCACAATCTTGTGAATGGTCAGTGAGCTCAACTGTCACAATCTTGTGTATGATCAGTGAGCCCAACTGTCACAATCTTGTGAATGGTCAGTGAGCTCAACTGTCACAATCTTGTGAATGATCAGTGAGCTCAACTGTCACAATCTTGTGAATGGTCAGTGAGCTCAACTGTCACAATCTTGTGAATGATCAGTGAGCTCAACTGTCACAATCTTGTGAATGGTCAGTGAGCTCAACTGTCACAATCTTGTATATGATCAGTGAGCTCAACTGTCACAATCTTGTGTATGATCAGTGAGCTCAACTGTCACAATCTTGTGAATGATCAGTGAGCCCAATTGTCACAATCTTGTGAATTGTCAGTTTAGTAGGATTGGAACTTGAAATATTTGGCAAATGGCTGAAACATTAAGAAACTTTTCACAAATTTGAAGAGAAACAAAAACAATCGTTGTTTTTGGCGACATTATGAAAAGACAAAATTTGTACCAGTTGAAAAGATTTATGGTTAAATATCACAAAATATTTTTCAAAGCTTTTTGGTATAGATTTGGTACATAAATTGATAGATGTGAACTGAAAACTCCAGATCACTATGACCAACTCTCTTAGTTTCAAGGTATGCATAATGTGTGATTAGGTTTTACTACACTAGCCCTGCCATCATCAAATATGTTGTTTTAATTGTAATGCTTGGGGTACAGCATGGTAAAGAAATCTGGCTCAGAGTGGTCGCTTTCTTGTATGTTTTGTGAACTGTGTAATATTGATCTCATTGAAACCTGCACTGTACACCAGGGTAGCAGCTGGTGAAGCCATTATGATTGCCCTAATCAGGACTTTGTTGAACAGGGTACCTGGGATTTGTTCGGTTGAATTGTCTTCTATGGTTTGACGGATTTGTTGTTAAACCTTCAGCTAGCAACCTAAAGCAGCCCAAACAGTCAGTCAGTTCATCCTTTACCATTTCAGTTATAGAGTCTGGTCATCTATCTATGGGAAGTAAAGACATTACACAAACTAGCAAGCTTGCTTGATGACCGTGTAGTCAAAGTTTTATATCCCCATTTAGATGGGGATATTTTAACAAATGGATCTGATCTCTGGGCTCAACCTAGCTTTAAATGTATCACAAGAAATATCCTGAAACATGAAGACAGCTGATCTCTGGGGTCAACCCAGCTTAAAATGTGACACAAGAAATATCCTGAAACATGAAGACAGCTGGTCTCTGGGGTCAACCCAGATTAAAATGTAACACAAGAAATATCCTGAAACATGAAGACAGCTGATCTCTGGGGTCAACCTAGCTTAAAATGTGACACAAGAAATATCCTGAAACATGAAGACAGCTGGTCTCTGGGGTCAACCTAGCTTAAAATGTGACACAAGAAATATCCTGAAACATGAAGACAGCTGATCTCTGGGGTCAACCCAGCTTAAAATGTGACACAAGAAATATCCTGAA